TCTTGAAATAATTTGTTGACAACATCTCTGCCTTATGTTTTTTTTTTACATTCACAGTCTGTTTAAATGAAGATTATTTGGTTCAAAATCAAAATAAATGTAATTAAACAACTCACTAATCTTTAAATTGACAACATAACTGTCTCCGCTAAATGATATGCTAGCTAGCCACACTAGATGCTAAATGACTTAGCTTAGAGTTGATGCTAAATGTGCTAAATGCTAACAGGGTCTTATAGTATGCTCTCAGTGCCAAAATGTCAAGATTATCTATGTCATAAAACAGAGTGTATTGCTAATACATATAAACTATGAAGTTGTACGAATTTAGGTAAAAAAATAGATCCTAACAATGTATATAAGCTGAAATTAGCTTCCAAGCTAAATAACCTATTGACCAATTTACTGCACAAGTAATGTAATTTCAGCGCGTTTTGAAGTTGACCTAAGTTTGACCTCAATTCCTATTGCAAAATCTTCATGTCCTGAAAAGAGGAAAAGAAAAGTTTTCATGGTGTAACGCTTGCAAAGTCAAGATCCAAACAGAAATAAATGTACAAATATCAACAGTCAGGTGAAGTCGATGATTGTAAAATCATAAATGACACGTTTTAAATCAGCATCTCACTGGAGACACAAAATAGAGGAGAAAACGTAAATTTTGACTCTGAATCACAGACGTATGTATATAAATTACCGTAATTTCAGGACTATAGAGCGTACCTGAATTATAAGCTGCACACAATAAAAAAATTAAAAAATCTAGATATATAAGCCCCGCTTGTGTATAAGCTGCCGGTGTGCACGTTGTAACATGAAATATTTACACAGAAAAATTATTTAATTTTTTTAAATTAAATATGTACCAATAACATACACAAATACGTACAGTAAACATTTTTTTTAACAATGCCTTTATCGCGGTTGGTTTAAAAATAAAAAATAAAACTACAGTAGCTTACCAGGAAGTCATCGATTGCTATGTTCATATTCCTCCTGCTGCAAACTTGTGATCCAGGAAGCAAAAGTTGCTCCGTGCACGCAGGGGAGTCCCCCTCCCCATTTCATTGGTCAGATTTTTTTTACCTTTATTTATACAGGTAGTCTCATTGAGTCACAAGGACCCACCCCCCAAGAGGGACGTGTATTGAGCAGCACCCAGGTGTGACCAAGCTAAATATTTTTGGCGACAGGAAGCTCGTTAGCCTGTCAAAAAAAAAAAAAAATCCACAAGGGGTTCAAAGCCTGTGAAAAAGCTTATTGACCAAAAGTTACTAATAAAAACTGTCACACAAAATTATTTTAAATGACGTGCAAACATATTAAATTCAGTTCAGTCTGCGGGTTTCTCAATTATGTCTTTGATTTATTGTTTGTTTCAGTTTGGTTTCACAGGTTGCCAAATGACTCTCTGACAATTCAAATTTCTTTGAACACGTTCATAATTCTTGTGACGGAACAACGAGGCCCAGAAACTGTTCACCAACTGGCCTTAGGCCCAGAGACGCTCTTAAATGTTGCTAAAAGTGAAGTGGAATTATGGAAAATTCATCATCTGGGTGGGAAACGTAAATGTGTTGACTAACCATCCAACACTTGTTTAGACTTGTTGAACAAAGGGAGCTGCTGCACGGATAAAAGCCTCGATGACGAAACAAGGAAACAGGTCCCGCAGCCCAGAGAAGAACAAAAACGTCTAAAATATCAAATCCAGATAAAAGTAAAGGCGCTTCATCAGCTGGTGAGAGTATTGGCGACACACCAGCTGCTCCTGGGAGACGGTTCAAGTTTCTCTCTGCCACAAGAGCCAGCGAGCGCAGATTCTTCTCTACTTTTAGACGGAAACTTCAGGGTGTTGTTGACGAGACACGAGAGCTGAGCAGGTTCAAAGTTTTGTCCCATTCTCGCCGCCAAGAGGATCGGATTTATCTGCTTTTCTAAACACCAGGCCCAGATCTCAAGAAAAACAAACAAATAATTTGATGAAAAGCCGTCGAGAAAAAAGTTTGTTGGATTTGAGACGTTCAGAAGCTCCGTGAGAAGTTCTATTTGACTGGTTTTAAATGTAGAATACAGTGGACTGCTTGAAATAAAGGTTCATCCAGCAGAAAATAAGCAGAATTTGGGTAAACGTTAAATTGATCCTTCTCGAAAACACAATTTATTTGCTTCATAAAAAGTTAAATAAAACCGTGTTTGGAAGGGAATCCACCTGAACTTAAATATTTAGATTGCAATAAAATATTGTTTATCTTTAATAAGCTAAATTGTGCTTTTCTCTTATTGTCCAAGATTTAATTAAATGTGTATTTGATGAGCGTGTAAGTCGTGGCAACACGTTTTAATTAAACAGGATTTTATCTGGAAGGTAAACATCTCCACAAGCAAATTAGTTGGTTTTTTTTTGGTTCCTTTCAAAAAGTTCAAACTTTATTATTCCAGTGTTGAACAATAAAATCTGACGTTTGATAAATTTGCTGCATAAAGTCAAATAGTTGAACCTTTTATTGGATGGAAAGTCAACAAAAGGTTCAGTGGAAACGCTCCAACAGCCTTTAAACTGATAACACGAGTTTCTTTAAGCGTTCTCTTGTTTTGCTGCGATTAAAGTTTGATTTTAATCGTGAAAATCTGTGAAAGGTTTTTTTAAACAGCGAGTCTGCTGAAGCACGTTCAAGAACAAAAGCTCGGCCAAAACGAAGTCCAAAAGAATTTCACCGTTTCATCGAAGGGTTTTCAGGAAATGTGATGTGAAAGTGCAAACATCTGCGTTCGAGAGAGATCCCAGACGTTTTGACCTGCGTGACCTGAAGGACTTCACTGTCCAAAAGGGAAATGAAAGCCAAGCGGACGTTCCCAAATAATAACCTGCTCCCAATTATAAAAACAATGTACCAGACCGGTTTGAGCCTCTGAGAATCTGTTGCTGCCCACTCACTGGTGGAGTTCCCCAAGGATCTATTCTCGGTCCCATTTTATTGCCTATCCATGCTCCCCTTCGGCTCCATCTTTAGAAATTTTGACGTCATTTCATTCCTACGCAGACGACACTCAACAGCTACAGCGTAATTATTCTTTTTCACTAGGACTGCCTCACCGAGGGAAAAGTCTTCAAAACTTTTTTAAATTTGAATTAAAATAAAAACTAAAAAAATAACGTTAAAAAAATAGAAGTATATCTGGTCCCTGTTGAAACTGCTGAGCTTCTCCTGCAGATCTGGACCTCTTGGAGACGTCTGTAAAATCTCACGTAAATAACTGAGGGTGACGTTGGATTCTAATCCATTATGGTTTATGGAGTAAATAATGTTTAGTGTTTTTGTGAAGTTATTAAAAAAATGTGCCACTTGTGTAGCTTTAGAGTCATAAATGTTCGTTTAAGTCTACGGCGAAAACTGTCCCACAGGTAAAAACACTTTGAACAACCAGAAACCCTGAAAAGAAAAATAAATCTACTTGAAGAAGTTAAACAAATATCTGCGCATGTGACTGATTAAAATAAATAAACAACTAAAAACCAACAGGTCACATTTATCACAAAGGCTCAGAGTGCAGATTGCGTCATAAGAAAATTAGAGTTATTTTTGCACGTAGAACTAGAAGCCCTTAGAGCGTGTGTCGTGAATGACTCTCAACTACTACCACACCAAGTTCGAGCCCATCGCGCACCAAATTAAGGTCGAGCTAAGGTCGATTAGCTGCGGTGGCCATTTTGGTTTGGGTTCACGCTGGAGGTTTGTCAAAGCAAAGCCGCACGTGTGACGCAGCCGTTTGTTTTTTAAAAATAATATTAATTTATGTTTAACGTGTTTAAATTTGCCGTGAACAGTTTGGTTTGTAAACCTGCCAGGTTTAATTAAAGCCGCGGAGCAGAACCGGGTCAAACGGGGCGTCGAATGTGCTCCAGACATCTCGAGTCCAACAGGTGCTCCCTGGCTGCACAGCAGGAGTCTATTTTAGGGAGGAGGAGGAGGAGGAGGAGGAGGAGGTCAGCTGCTCCTGACCACAGAAACTACAAAATACGCCCACAGCTGTTTTTGTGTCTTTGACCTGCAAACAAACTTTTACTCCATTAGAACCAACAAGGTAAATAACAACAACAATAATAATATAATAATAAAGACTTGTTTTGATATCCCCCACCTGACTCTGTTAGCAAAATATCTTATGAACCACAGCTCAGATTTTAATAAAACTTTAAAAAATAAGGGCTTTTGGAGTTAATTTGATTCAAAATGGCCACAACTCTGTCAGTTTTGCAGATTTTAAGCTCAAATCCAGCGTGGTAGTAGCTGAGAGTCATCCCCGACACAAACTCCGAGGGCTGACTGATAGCGTGAGAGCCGTTTTAAAAACACGCTACTGTTACCCTTTACAATCATCTTTGTCTGTTAGCAGAATATCTTCTGAACCACGGGATGGATTTTAATGAAACCTTCGGGAGCGTCTCTTTAGAGCTGCTTAACGTTTGGAGTCTTCAAGATGGCCGCCACAGCCACCTGACTTTAGCAAATAACTAAATGGTCACAACTCAGCCAGCTTTACAAATACTGAGCTAAAGTTCAGTGTGGTAGTAGCTGAGAGTCATTCACAACATGTACTCTCAGTGATGCCGTGTGGAATATTAGTTTAAAATTATAGCATTAGCTGTTGGGAGTCTACCTTGTTGTCTGTTAGCAAAATATCTCACAGAGCACAGGATGGATTTAAGTGAATCCTTTAGAAAGTATTTATCTGATGCGCCAGTGTTGTCCTTTAGCGGTCTACACAAAAATGTCTAAAGTTCCGAGTGGTAGTAGCTGAGAGTCATCCTCAACAGTTGAATTGACGGTTTCTGTCATTTCTCAACACAAGAGGAAAAACTCTGAGATGACATGAGACGTTTACATGTCAAACATGACATGTTTAGGCTCTTCCAGGACAGGTGGACATGAGTGGACTCACCGAGCCTGTGGACCGGGTCAGCCGCCTCCTGGACCGCCCTCCCCCGCTCCGAGCAGCCGGAGCTCGCGGACTTGCTGCCCAACATTCTGTTTCCAACTCTTCAGAAAACTCCCAGGATCCTCCGCGGGCGTCAGGGTGACTTCAAGCCGGGCCCAGACTGATGTCCCACGGGCTGGGAGACACGCAGCCGAGAGGACAAGTGTTGTCCTCGAGTCCACATGTGGACAAGTCCCTCCTCCACCTCCTCCTCCTCCTGCAGCCTGGGCGTCTCCGTCTCCTCCTCCATGTTGCGCCTACAAACAGACAGTCCCTGGAGTAATGCATATCGCCCGCCGCCTCTCTTTGGAACACCAAAATGCTCAAAATGATCCAAAAACACACAATATATGAAATTAAATTTAAAAATCATTTCTATTCTTTTATTTATTTGAGCATTTTGGTTTCATTTTTCTTACGTCTCAGCTCAGGGTTGTGTTGAACCTGTTGAGGATCACCCTCAGCTACTACCACACCAGCTACATAAATCAGACTAAATGATAACCATCTTGGACTGGGGTGACTCCAACTGGTGAAGAGTCTTTGATCTACATCCAGAGATGACTTCATGACGGATCCATTAAATTCCACCCAGCGGTTCATGAGATATTTTGCTAACAGACAGACAAGTGTTGAATCCTGATCATTTAGCTGATAAGGATCAGTCTCAGCTACTACCACACCACATTTCAGCCTAATCGGTAACTGTAACCACAAGTTTAGTGTTTGCTGAGGTCCTTTAGGTGGTTATCTTGGTTTAAGTTATAGAACATCTAAATGTGACTTTCTGAGGGTTTCAATACAAATATGTCCAGTGGTTCATGAGATATTTTGCTAACATACTCTCAGCAGTGAACAATAAATGTTTATAAAAAATACAAACCAAAACTTTCCTACTTTTTAGATGAAACAGGAAACAATGATTTGGTAAGAGAGTAGTTAAAATACATTGTTACTTTTATTATTTGTTACACTTTTAACGTGTATGCACTTGAAGTCGAATGGTTTTAACTTTAATATGAAGAAATTAAAAACTGACTGAAATGTGTTGGATTGTATATCTGGATTATGTTGGATTGTATATCTGGATTATGGAGCATGGACTTTGACATTAAAAACTGTTAAATTTTTTAAATCAGTAAATTGAGCTCCAGCGCCCTCTGTTGGTGGTTTGGTTGAATTACCACTTAAAAAAAAATTGTGAAGCCATTTCTTCTTCTTGTGCAGGATTTGAAGAAGGGTGGGCTTCTTCAACCCTCCTGCACAAAGTACAAGTCTTGAGTAAACATTTATTTACAAATAAAGGAGTTTTGTCTCAGAGCGATCGAACCGTGCGGAAAATGGGATCCACGTCCGTTCAAGAGCTCAAACCTGCACAGAACCAGGTTTCGATGCAAAATCTTTATTTGACTTGACATAAAGAATAATAAAAGAAATAATAATAATCCACGTGCTGTTGCTAACTATTTGAAATCCACACGCTTTTGTTAACATAACCAAAGTAAATTGGGACTATAACCGTTTTCATCTTTCCTCAGCACCGTGTTGGACGGAGGGAGAGATTAAGTCAGGCCTGCTAATCCTCCATCATCCATGCAGGAGCGATAATGTAGCTGCACCGCTCCTCGGTTTGACAGCACCCTGGTGTGACTTCCCTTCCTTACCAGTGCTCAGGTTTGTCATTAACTGGAGCGAATGCCCTCTCTCTCTCTCAAAGACTTCCTGGGTCAGCCTGCCTATATGCCAGAGGTGAAACTGGGCCCTGCTTCTGTCAGCAGGCTGAGTTGTTGCACTGGAGTCCTGGTGTTTACAAGCACAAGAGCAGGGACGCAATTCACTGCAAATGTATGCACTTAATAAAAGTAAAACTGCTTCATGAACACTTTCACGGAACTATTTGTGTTTATGCATGAGTGTGCAGCTTGCACAGATGAAACAGTTTATCTACTGACTCTGTAGTAATCTGCAAGACATTCACTGTTATGAATGAGAAATGCATAATAGAGCAATAACAATTTCTAGATAATTACACTTTAATTGCTTTTATCTATCCAACTCCTTTTGTGTATGACATAATAAATGATATAGTTAAAAAAAAGTGCACTAAAACGTGTAAAAGAAAATAAAGGATTGGTAAGTAGATGTAAACTAAAGCAAAGATTTGGTGCTTCCTTGGACGTCTGGGCTCCGACTACTTCCTGGGGCCACACAAGTTGTTTGTAATGCATGACATTCAGTAAACAAGACCCGTTCTTCAGTCGGACAACACGACCCAACTGCTGTGGGTTCAGTCCATTCTCACGACTTGTATAAAAAAAACAAACGCACAAATACAAGTGCAATGCAGTCATTGGAAAATCACAATGATATCATAATCCAGGAAGTAAACGGAGCCGCCGTGAACACGTTGGCCTAGTTAGCACAAAGCTAATTTTTGTTTTAGCTTTTAGAAGTTCTGTAATAAAACTGCTCCGAGTTTAGGTTAAACCTTATCGACAACTGTGTAGGGTGACATTTAATGAGATGCAGACATTTAATGTATAGCCGTAGTTTTTATTTGTTTTATTAAAACGAAGCACCGAGGCGCATGCTAGTTGTTAGCCTAGCTTTGTGTACAATGTGACGTTTGTCGTCAGGAGCCATTTCCGGTGCAACTTTAATTTTCATGCCGAAGCTTTTTAAGGTTTATTTTTAATATAGTGCATATGACTTCACACATTTTTTGCAGTGTTTTTAGTTTGAGAGCGACCAAACTTAGCGCTCGTTCGCTAACTACTAACGTTAACGCTCGGCTAACATTAGCCGACCAACTCGGAACAAATCGTGTAGACACTGCACGTTGGGGCTAAGACAAAAAACAACAACCCAAAACTGATCTACACCACTCCGTCCACTGATAAAAGGGTTATTGAGCAAGTGTGAGATCGCCTGACCCACCCTTTGACAACGAGGGGTTCGAGGTTCTGAACGCAGCAGCTGCTTCACAATAAATGTCGTTTGTTTACGCTGCTTTCACAGTTCGCCCCGAACGTCTGCCCTTCGACGTATTACTCCGCGCAACTAGTAACGTCGAAACGGAAACATTTATTCACTCAAAATGGCGCATGTAAACTATTTTTATACGCATAATCTCCAGAAAGCTTTGCATTTAGAGAACGAGTAATTAATAGTTATTTTATGACATGAACACTGAAAACGGACTATATTCCATGGCGGGATCGCTTCATTCAACTTGAAATAAAGGAGGTTCTATTCTGTTTTGTAGAGTGGCCTTGGGCGTTAAGGCCTCAACAGAAAAACAAATCCCTTTGCTTGAATTAAAATATGCTCCTAAATATTTCTGATTTGATATTACGTCGTATACAAATTTCTGAATCAACTTGTGTTTTCGTTGTTTGTTCTCGTTACCCCTCCAAACACAAATGGTACAGTCCACAAAAAATGCCCGGGACTGCTTTTTTGTGTGGATTACGCTCTTTTGATTGATAGCTCGACCGTCCCATCAGAAAATAATTCAAGCTTAGCAACAGCAAAGTTTCCCTATCAGCCAATCAAGAAAGAGCAGGGCGGGGTTTGCTGGGCACCATAGCTTATATTTTTATTGGTTAAAACGCCCATCGATCAAAGCAGGCTTGTGGACTATGTAGTTTTGTGTTGACCTCGAGCCTTTAGCTGAAATGTACAGAAAACCACATATCCCACAATCCAACTGGTGTTACTAGAAGAAGCATGCGCACGGTCGGAGGCGGAGCCGCTATATAAACAGGAGATCCCTCTTCTCGAGCGGCACTCTGGACTCTGTTGAGGAGGCAGAACGCAGTCTCTGAGAGACCGTTAGCGCTGACAGCACCGAAACAGTTAATGGTTGTTAGCGACAGTTTGCTCTGACAAACCCTTGGAGGAGTAACAAGTGTTTACTATTCACAAGTTTCCTTTGGACTTTGCGGGAGTTTAATTTAAAACGTGGTTTGGTTTTGAAACTTGTTCTGGAATTCGGAGGAAGCGAAAAAAGAAGTTTATTACTTTTTTTAAAACAGCGACTACTGAAGCTCAGTTTTGAGACGATGGAGTAAAAATGTGCTAAAGGCGGAACCACCAGAGGAGATCTTCAGGATGACAGAGCCGGAGGAGCAGAGCCATCACCTGGGAACTTTAGGCAGCCCGTCAGGTGAGAGCTGCGGGAACGCGGCGGAGCATCTCCCGGCCAACAGCCACGTCTTACCGCAGAACGGCGCCAGGGGGCGCCAGAGAGAGCACAACCACCGGCGGAGGGCGGGGAGCTGCGGGGATGTCAACACCGACAAGTTCTGGCGAACCAAAGGCGGACAGACGGAGGTGTGTCCCGCTTTAACGTCCGGAAACGCAGCTCGTCCTCACCAGACCCCGCCGGGTGAGTCGTGCGGGGACCATCCGCTGCAGGGGGCTCTCCCCCACCAGGTCCAGCAGGAGACTCCGCTCGTGGACTCCGAGATCGGCCTGGAGGCGCGCCAGGGCAAGAAGAAGCACCGGCGCAGGACCTCCAAGAAGAAGCGCTGCTGGAAGCCGTACAACAAACTCTCCTGGGAGGAGGTCAAAGCCCTGGAGGAGCGGGAGACCGCCAGGGCCTCCCGCATGAGGGAGGAGATGTTCGCCAAGGGACTCCCGGTCGCGCCCTACAACACCACCCAGTTCCTGATGGACGAGCACGACCGGGAGGAGCCCGACCTGAACACCGAGACCGGGGTCCGGCGGCCGCTGGGGGTCGGAGGCCGCGCGGAGGACACCGGCAGCGAGGAGGAGCTCTTCGATAACGAGGAGGACGACGAGGACGACGGCAGCGGCGGAGGCAGCGACGGCATCGGGAGGCCCGGGAACGCGGGCGGGGAGTTCCTCCAGAGGGACTTCTCGGAGACCTACGAGATGTACCACGTGGAGAGCCTGCAGAACATGACCAAGCAGGAGCTGGTGCAGGAGCACCTGGAGCTGGAGAAGTGCATGTCCCGGCTGGAGGAGGAGAACATCCGGCTGAGGCGCTCCGCCCTGGACGGTTCCCGGATCCGGGAGCTGGAGCTGGAGCTGGAGAGACTGAGAGCCGAGAACATCGAGCTGCTCCAGAACCAGCCCGGACCGAACCGGGACCAGGTCCCCGCCAAGTGAAGGTCGCCTCCTGGACTTGAACGTGTCGCACTGAGACGCAGCAGCTGACCTGACGTTTGTTTTCTACCTGACCTGCGCAACAGGAAGTGTACATATTTAAAAATTAAAGGTATTTATTACAAAGTGTGAAATCAGACAAAACAAATCAAACTACTGTCGGTGGAGTTTCAAGGAGTTCGGTAGTTTCTCCAGATCTAAACTGCGGGTCTGCGCTCAACGTAAACACAATTAAATCTGCAGTTTTAACTTAAAAACAATCAAAATCAGTTTTAATACTTTTTGTCTGGTCTTCATAACTTTGCAGTGACTACGTTTAATATTTTTTAATATAAAATAAAGGTGTTTAACCATATTTTTTTTGTTTTTCCAGGTCATTTTTGTAGGCATATCTGACACGAGCTGTTCCATGTTTAATAATAAAAGTGTAATTGACGCTTGTCTGCATCGGAACCGACTTATCGGGCCAGAACCTCATGTTTTGTTTTTACATTAACGGGCCCAGAGTTGTTATTGCTTCAAATAAATAAAAAACATTTTCTGATTCGTCGTTTATCCAAAAACAAGAACCACCTGAAGAGGACTTGATGGGTTCTGATGGGGACCGGGTCTGAAGAAGTGCTTTATTAAACTTCCCACTATAATAATTAAAATATATAAATCTCATGCACGTCAAACTGCAGCTTCCGTCACTTCCTGATCGTGAAGGAATGCACGTCACCCGCCGCTTCTCGCCCAACTTTAGCTGCAGCAGCCATCTTGAATTGGACTCTACCTTTGGAGCTTCATTAAAATCTGCAACTGTTCATGAGATATTTTACTAACAGGCAAGCCTGAAGGTTTTCAAAATAAAGCACTTAAATTTTAGCTGTTTTGGTAAAACTGAATTTAGTCTAAATGTTCTGTTAAAATCTGTCCAGTGGTGCATGAGATATTTTGCTAACAGACCTAATCCAGTCTTTAATGATAAGAGGCGGTCTAGGTGAGACGAGACCTCCAGAGGGCGCCGTCCAGCTGTCGAGTCCAAAAACCAGAGACCAGAACCGTTTACTTGTTTATTTACACGGTTGAAGCAAACACAGTTTTTAGTCCGTTTTGTTTTACATCAATAAAGATTCCAAATGTACACAATATTAAAGGTATGTACAAAACATTATTTAAAAAATACAATAAAACATTTAAGTAAAAAGCACATTGGGGGTGGTTTGAGGGTCTGCAGGTGGACAAACACAAAACGCCTCCGAGAGTCCAGGACCTGAAATGTTTCCTGTTGGCGCCGAAGAGCGAGTGCATAGGTGAAGTCCTTGGCTCGACGTGTGCGTCCCGCTTTGTCCGGTTATCGTACGCGTCTTTGGGTCGAGGCCCGGGAAGGCAAAGAGCTGCTCACGCAAAACGTTCCAGAAACAGGCACTTAAAGAATCTTGAGGTAAGACGAGACCGGAGCTCGGGTCTAATCGGGACAATTAGCTGAGAGAAGTTTTTTAATTAAAAGAAGAGGGTTCGAGTTCTGAGCTCCTCGTCGTACCGTTTCCTCAGTTAGGAACTCCCCGAGGCGACGAGCGACCCGTTTATACGTCTTCAAAGAGCCGGAGACGTAACGCTCGAAGAACCCCAATCTGAAAAAGTTGTTCAAAATTTTAATTAAAACAAACAAAAAAAACAACGATCTGCAATAAACGGATGCAATTGTATTTTTTTTAATTTTATGTTACGGCGTCAGCAAATGTTTAAAAGTTACCGGCGTGAATAAGAAGCAACGTTTGGTGAACTGGCAGCAGACCGGACATGAAACGGGCATTTTAGAAGTAAAGATGGGCAGAGGTTTACCAGTCTGTGAAAAACTGAATTTAAAAGTAGTGACCATAATTTTCTTGAACAGAAAACTGAAAAACAAAACAACTTTGAATAATCCAACCAGGGCTTAATTTGACCCGGGAACGCGCTTATTTTGACAGGGTGCGTTCCGGTAACTGTTCGGATCCGGTAACTCTCAGATTTACAAATAATAAAGATATGAACAAATTTGACTGCCTTGAACAAATAAAACCTATATTGGATATGTAATCTGAAAATAATTACATAAACACTCATTTTAAACATAACAGCCACTAACAAGCTTAATACCACATAAGAGCTGCTGCTTCAAGTAAGCATGTCCACTTCTACCCTTAAAATAATCTCCGCCCCTAAAAGTTCAGTCATGGGCAATTTAATTAAAAATACAAAAAAATAATTAAACAGCACAACTAAATTGTAAATCAGTTTTACAGTTTAAGTGGGTCATTAATAAAATTTTGATCATTTATTAAAAATACAAGAGAAATGTTTGATGGGTAATCTTGTTACGTGCATCACGTTTCAAAACAACGGCACTAAATTGTCAAAAAGACTAATTTACTTTCATTTAAAAAAACGTCTTCATTGTACAACTAAACTCAGAATTGAAGCAACGCGGGGGTGGGGGGGGCTTTATTCACACAAGGAGGGCTGTTGGTCAGGCTACTTCTTGCTGCTCTCTGAAATACTGAATCAAGTGTTTACAAATGTAGGTAAACGTAGATGTTTAACAACCTGTTAAAATACACCAGAATGAAGGAAATGGTATCTACTTTATTCAAAATTTTCTCGGGGAGCATCCCACAGACCCCCCCCCCCAACACACACACTATTCAAGCATCGTTTGGTTTACAAATTAAGCACTGATCCCAACAACTAAATTCATAATATCTTTAAAGATATTTTTTAAATCTCTGAGCTCAAAGGACGTGGTCGTGATCGTCGGGCCCTCAGGGGCCCCCGCGTTAAACCCAGGTCTGGTTCTGGACCTCACTGCACGGGCTCAGGGACTCAGACGAGTTGAAGTTTGAAAATCTTTCAGTAAATCAAAGACGTCACGTCCTCCGTACGTAAAAACCCCTGAAACCCAGCCGGTGGAAGCAGATGGCCTCTTGCCCTGAGCCTGGTTCTGGTTCTGCTGAAGGTTTGTTCCTCGTGAGTGTTTCCTTCCCACTGTCGCCGTCATGCTCGCTCAAGATGAGAGTTCTGTGATGGAGTCAAACTCAAAACATGATTTTATCATTGATTTTAGTTGCACTTTGTAACACTGAGGCTTTTGTTAATGAAAAGTGCGTTACAAATTAAATTCATTATTATTATTATTATTATTATTATTATTATTATTATTATTATTATTAAAGCGGTCTGCTCCTCAGATAAATAATATTAAATGATCGTAACTTTATATATATGAACGTTCAGCGCCCTGAAATGACTTCTGTTGTGACTTGGTGCTAAATAAATAAACTGAACTTAAAAAGGACCCTTCAGCCTGTTCACAACCTGCCTCTCTGATGGTATGGGGTTGCATTAGTGTCTCCGGTAAAGGCAGCTTACACATCTGGAAGAGCACCGTGAATGCAGAAAAGGAGTTTTGGAACAACATCTCCTGTTCAGACACCTTCAGCGAGAAGACACTAAACCACATCTGCAGGACAGAACTGGTTCTGTACCGTCCCGCCTGCAGACCGGACCTCTCACCATCAAAACAAAAAACCCAGCAGAGGAGGGGACGCTTCAAACTGGGAGACGTGGCTTCATTTCGTGTTGCTGCCATTAATTCAACATTCTCCGTTTGACTCTTATTTATTGATCAGGTTTATGAGATTTGCAGATCATCGCATCGTTTTAATTTATTTTACACAAACTTTTCAGAACCAGGGACGAAAAATGAGCGTTCGAAGTTTTATTTTATATTTTTTTTAAATAAAAGTTTTCGGAGTTAAAGGTTTTCGGCGGCGCTGCGAACCAGAAAGTGTGCACGAGGAAACGAGGAGCTCTTATTCTGGAACAGAAGCTCGATCCGATAAAAGTACTTTTCTTTAACTTTAATATAAAATATATATATTTTAATATATAGAGAATATAAACAAAAGAGAATATATTAAGAAAAAAAAAAACATTTCAAGTGACATGTTGAAAAAATGTCTGCGCTCCGTGCGCACGTTTCGTAAACCATCAAGTGAAAACAGCTTTTATATTTACACGGTTAACTTAGCGAGGCTTTGTACAAATGTTACAAAACGTTCAACTCCTGCACGCTCGGACACGAGCACAAATATTTCTGTTTGCTGCTTCCACACGGTGGTGAAGGAGCGGAGCGTCGTCCGTCTGGAAGCAGACGTGCGGAGCGTTAATTAGTTCGACAGTGTCCGCGGTCGGGAAGACGGGTCCAAATAAATTAATCAGCTGAACTCTGACAGGAAACGCTTTTCAAGACTCGAGACGTTTTTATGGACCCAGTTCGAAGCACCTTGATCTCAGCGATCGGCTGCGGGTTCGACCGAAGCGTGAACCCTTTAGGTCTCGGCTGCGAGCGAGACAGGAAGGACACAGAGACATGTCTTCATGTCCCTGTCCTTTGTGGGACGCCACCGCTGCGTCTCCAGGCGGCGGGGGGGCTCGTCCGTTGCGGCTCACAGGTACTCGTGGAATCTGGAGGTGGGGTTTTGGCGTGGTACTGGTCCCGGGATGAGCCGGTCTGCTTTGACCTGGTTCTGACTGAGGGGGGGCGAGGGCAGCCGGGTCAGCGGGGGTCTCTTCTCGGACGTTTCCGTCGGGGAGGCCACCACCGTGTGCCGGCGCCACACCCGTTTCTTGCGGCGCGTCTCGGGCGACGGTTGTTTCCTCAGCCCCACGCTGCGCAGGTCGTCGGCGGAGCTCAGCAGCCGGGCCCGGACCTGCTCTGCCAGGGACTTCCCGCCGGGTCCGGTCGGGGTGAAGGAGGCGGCTTCGGTGGGGGGCAGGGCGAGCTTGGACCGGGACAGTCGCGGACTCTCCTGGCTGCTGCCTGAGGACGGGTCGGTTCTGGAGGTGTCCCTCCTCGGTCTGGGTGCTCCTTCTGACCCGGAGCCAGTACCCTCCTCCTGAGACTCCAGCAGGTCCTGGGACCGGGTTCTGGACTTGTCGGACTTGAGCTTCTTGCGGGCCAGCGTGTCGCACTGGATCAGCTTGTGGGAGTTGAAGGAGGGCCGCGAGTGCAGCCTGTGGGCGGCGGAGGAGGAGGAAGGTGTGGCGGAGCGCGCTCCCCTGTCGCTCCGCTCCACGGCGTTGGGGGTGTGAGCGACGGGAGTGGGCGGGGCGGGAGCGGCGCTGGGGGGTCTGCAGTGCGAGTACAGGAAGCTGGGCGGGGCGGGCTGCGTGTTTGTTGTTGTTGTTGTTTGTTTACTGGGCCTCTCCTGGGTGAGCGAGCGCGAGGCGAAGCCGCTCTCGTTGTCCGTCTCGCTCACCAACTCGCTCTGCTCGTCGTCGGCGTCCTCGCCTCTGCCCTCCGACCCCAAGCTCCGCCCCAACGTGGAGAGGGTGGAGTAACCGGACACGATGGAGCGGGCGTCCTCTGGAGCTCGCCAGGGCCGCGCCTTCACCTCCGCCTGCGCCCCCTCCTCCTGCAACAACATGGCCGTCTGCCTCCCTCCCACCTCCTCTTCCTCTTTACAGTTCGATACAACCACCTCCTCCTCCTGCTGCTTCTCTCCTACAGCTTCCTCCTCCTCTTCCTCCTCTTCTTCCTCCTCCTCCTCATCCTCCTCTCCTTCTGCTCGAGGAGCAGTGTCTCCCACGGGCGATTCTGCCTCCTCCTCCTCCTCCTCCGTCTCCGGGCGTCCGGCTTGGGTCGGCTCGAGCTCGGAGTCGTCGTCGGTGCTGCTGCCCACGCGGCGAGCGTTGCGCCGTTGCTTCCTGCGTTTGCGTCCCGTCACGGCGGACATGATGGACAGAGCCAGGAAGTCCTTGGCTGTGAGGTCCTTCGACCCCCACGACCTCTGAGAGGAAGAGGAGAGATTCACGTCAAAAACTACTTTTATAGATTATTGACGAGCATTTTGTTTTAATTCAACCTTTAAACATGTTAATCCCACCGAGCTTAAAGAGCAGTGGACAATCATAAAGGACGCGTACAAATTTATTTATTTATTTATTTTAACAAATGAAAATAAAATGGTAATTAAAAGGAAAAGTAGTGAAAAAACATCTAGATTATAAAAAGACGTAGAAAACTAGAACATGTTTTTTACAGGAACTTAGATGTTTAAAGCCACTAACAGAGGTAAATACTAATTTTATATTTTTTATTTTACTAATTTAATAGTAATAGTTTACTTTTACTAATTTTGTATTTTTTTTTTTTTTACAAATTTTACTAAATAATAATTTCAGTAAATACGAGATCATTTCTGTAAAAGACACGTACAAGATCAAAATAAATGTCTCGTTATGGTCACCGTGGTAACCACACGCCTGTGTCTCTCACTCCCTGACTGCCAAGTTAATGGCGCAGACTGAAAATTAAGCCTCAAACAAACGGTCGCTGTTTAAAAACTAAAAGTCAGACCTCACGAGTTCTTGAACCGTGAGCGTCAGAACACCCCGGCACTTTGAACTTTTGTTTCTAGTGTTTTATATCGGAGAGGAACTAAAAAAAATACATATTACCTCCAGTTTTGAAGGAAATATCTTGGTTAAAAATATTACTAGAAGTCGAGAGGCTTTGGTGTGCTCGGCGGGATTATGAGACAAAACCAACACGTTTTAATGTATAACTTGTTTATGTCGCTAAAAGAGATTTACAGGTTTAGACGCCTCCGTTGAGCGTCTGCTAAACAAAAATGAATAAAAGATTTCTGCGACGCGCTGAAACTGAACCGTGTTTTTATTGTAAAGTCTGTCGGCGCTACAGGAACGGGTTTTCTCGTCCGTTTCCTCTGAACAACGTTGATTTGCATCGTTTTTTTTATGACGTTCACGAGGTGCTGCTAACAAAAGTCACAACGCACTACTCCTGATGGAGCCGCTTGTTTTGATGTGTAATTTGTATTTTTTTTTTTTATTTAAAAACGACACGATAAAGTAACAACGATGCATTGTACACCTTTAACTTCTGCTAAACGTGTGTGTGTTACCTTGTTCCGAGCCGAGTCACTGTTGGTTGAGTCTGCAGGAGGATAAAACACATCAGGTCAGAGGAGTTGACGGTAAGAAGCCTAAAGAGTCATGGTGGAGGACGCAGAGGCGGCTTCTACTGAAGTTGTTTTAATGAGTTTTAAGAAGTTGGTTTTTTTACCATCGGCCTGAATTGTTTTTATCTGTTCGTGGACTGAAAGCGATTTGTTTCAGAAGCCGGCCCTCCTCTGCGTCCTCATCATGTCAGACCCCGAATGAAACTTTCAGAAAGTGGAGCTTTTTAGTGGGAGAGACAATGATGAGGGGGGGGGGGGGGAAGCAGCAACTGGTGTTTGGAGAAACCACAGCGTGTGTACACACGCACGCACACACACGCACGCACGCACGCACAAGAAGCCAAGAGGACTGAGGGCATCGGTCACGGACAGAAACACCGTTAAATACTCAGATTTCAAGTTTTCGTTGTTTCGTGAGGAGAAACCCGAGGAGGTGAGCGGGTCGGCGAGGAGGTCTAGGTGAAGCTTTTTCTCGTGTATCGATCGAATCAAAAGGTGAAGATCAAAGTTTCCTTTCGTTACGGCGTCGTTAACAAACATCCAGGATCATTACCTTTAATTGTTGAAACTGTGACTGTACCGAGCGATCCAGATGTGCCACGACCGATCAGCGCTAAAAATAAACTAACGTGATCTGAGCACGGCGGAGAGGAAGAAGTCAAACTGTCGGCGGTGTCGACTGTTTTTATTTTCATCGAGGACAAACTTTAACTTTATATATAACAATAACTTTATAGTATAAAGTATATAACATAACGGTATTGGTTATCAGCCAAATACGTTTTGACATATCGGCCAAACATCCAATATCGTGCATCCCTAATTAGAAGTGACTTTTATATTTTATTCTGTTTAAAATGTGACCAAAATTAATCATCAGATATACATTCATGCCGTTAATCAGCTGTTTAAAGCATTTTTAAAAAACGTTTTTAATCTTCAAAGTGCTCAGAGAAACGCAGAAAAAGTTGGAGAACAGAACAAGAATAAAACGACCCGAATCTACTCAACGACTGAATGAAACGCGTTGCGTTACGCTTCAATCCACAACAGGCGCTTTATAAATAAAGCTCGACTGATCTGACTTTATTATGAGACGTGAAACTTTAAAACACGGTTTAAACTATTTGAGCCACAGGAGGTGACACTTCATTAAAAACATGTTTAACAAACATTTATTACAAAGTTATAAAGATGTGCATAGAGTAAAAAACAATAAACGCATCCGCGGTTAATGTGTCCTTAAATTAAATAGTTGTGAAGTTAGTTTTGTTGCCACGTGTGTTCGTTTACCTACGGAAACAGCTGAAAACAAACGTTAAATTTCAGACCGGCTTCGCTTCCCGACGCAAACGAGAGCCGAGCCAACAGAGTTCAGTCACGTGACTCAGGCCTTCGTTTTCAGAGGATTTAGGGTTTTGATTTGTTTACGTCGAGTGCGTACCCTCATTTCTGCGTTGCATTCCAATAAATCTGTGAAACAGCCGACGTAAACTCAGGCTAAACTTTTTAACGTTTAATCAGTTTGATGTTGGAGAAAATTAAAGGATTTTAAATGCGCCTTATAGTCCGAAAAACCCGGTCCTAAAACTAGATTTCAAACTGGCGCGCTCATGAGCGGAACCAACGGGTTGCCAGGTGAAAAATCGCCAAAATTCAACAAACTACGAACCGTTTTGAAGATTTTCAGACGAAAATAACTTTTGAAAAAGTCCTCGTCGTGGCTCACGTCGCCAGCACGGGTCACATATCTGCGCTATCAGAAACAGCAACACCTAGAGCCCCGTGGCCCGGGTTAGGAGCCCGATGACGGGGTCTGGCAGGATGAGTGGAGCTGACAGACAGACGGAGCGGGTCGTCTCTCCAACAGGAACCAGCCACCCGTTAATTCATTAGTCAATCTGGGAGTGAGTTTAAAGAGACCTCAGTCTGAAGGTGACAGGGGAGACGCTCACTTTCAGGGGTAATGGAGACCATGGAGACACAAGCCATCACCGACACACACACACGCACACACACAGATTTCCAGGGGAGTTCCCATCCTACCGCAGCGGCTGCTCCACGGGCTCAGCTAAGAGGAGGAAATTCAGAAACGCACAGAGAGAAAGTGAAAGATGAGCAACATGAGGTCAGCAGGAAGACGTGCAGGCATGTCGTCAAAAACCCAAACTCTACGAGCTAAAAGAGCTTCATGCTGCGTTCAAGCCATGTTGGAAAGCAGAGAACTGCTTGAACTCAACGATGAACGAGCCTCCTGCCACATCACAGCATTACCGTAGTTTTTTTATTTTTTTATCAACCACACTTGAATTCAGATTACTTGATCATTTAAAACAAATAAACAAATCAGGCCCGACATGCAAGAGAAGTTTCCAACTGCCAGCTTTAAACGAGAAGATTAAATCGCATGTTCTACTTGTAGACAGGAAGGAGAGAGGAGGTGCGCTCACCTGAAGCCTCCCCGAGCAGAGCGGTCCTGCCGATGTTGGACAGCAGGTGGTCGATGTTTGGAGCCGGCTGCACGTCCTCGGTGTCCACCGGGGTCTGAGGGGACCAACAGGAAACCATTAACTTTAATTAACTGTATTATTATATTATTGTTGCTCCTATATTTGGTTTAATGTGGTCCGAGGTTCGTCTGCAACACAAAATTGTAAGAAAATACATTTTCCCTTCCCCGAACAGCATTTTTGCACAGACTTCTGGATTCGTGATAAGTTTGGTTGAATATTGTCAAGATGGACTCCAAGAAGACGGACTGCAAGAAGACGGACTCCAAGAAGACGGACT